TAATAGTTATAGCAAAATGAAGTGGCATTGGGATCAATATCCCACTATATCTCACTCTGGCGTAATGGCACAGAAGGAAACTGGAGGCCAGGGGAGTCTGATCCCTCCACTCCACTATGGGCCTATAAATCTGCCTGACCTGCAGATTGCTTATTAAAGTACATACACAATCAACAGCAGCTATCCAAAATAGCAAACTTACTTACTGACCTAAAGTCAGGGGAATAGATGCCTTTACCTTGTTAAGTAGCAGAGGTTACAGATTGATTGGAATTGTCTCATTGTGCTGCACTGGTAGGTTTGGAGGTGTTGCATCATATAAAAACCCGAGATAACGTACTAATGTTATGAACTTGGCAAATATTGCCATTATGTTATTTTATTGTCTTTTGAGAGTGCGTCATGCCTATGTTTCTATTATGAGCAAGGTTCTTTTTTTCATGATATTAATAAGTTATGTAAATTATAATCCTGTATATTTTTCTAGCCAATTAAAGGCTCAATTGCCGAAAAAAGGAAAAAAAAAAAACAACAAAAGACATGATACATTTAATAGAAATCTGACAAAACAAAGTAGACTGAGCAATTTAAAAAACGTATAAAGGGGTCATTACCTCATAAAAGTTTTGTCTATATAAACCTCATACTTGATCAAATGTTATGGTTGTTGTGTTGTAAATCTCTTTGAATAGGCAAACTGGCATGGTACTAAAAGTTGGTCTGGTTAGCTTAGGTTTATAATGAATAGAGAAGTACTGTATGCATCATGTTGTTGCAGTTGAACAGATGTTTAAATGCATTTACACTCTAAATAGACAGATATTTCTCATTTCCTGATGTTAAAACAGACAAAACCTTTGCTGTTGTAGAAAAGCCAGGATCATTAAAGTTAGTTTCCATTTCCTCCCGCTTAGTCCTTGTCAGGGTCTTGGTGGTGTCAGTGCCTATCTCCGGCATCCTATGGCCGAGAGGTGGGGTACACCCTGGACAGGTCGTGAGTCTGTCGCAGGATAACACAGAGACACACGAAGACACACAGCCATGTGCACACACGTTCACACCTAAGGACAATGCAGAAAAGCCAATTGACCAAACAGTCATGTTTTTGTGGTAGGAAACCGGAGTACCCAGAGATGCAGAGGGAGAACATGTAAACTCTGGGCCAGGAATCAAACCCAGAACCTTCTTGCTGCAAGGCAACAATGCTATCCACTATATCACAGTGCCGCACACTGAAGTTAGTTATATTTATGAAATACCAGAATTACTGTTTGAGGGACATTTCTAATACTTTTTCTAACTAAAGGAGACTAGAATTGCTTAATACTTGGTTACCTTAAAACTGTATGACATTGGTCAAACAGTTTGGATATACTTTCCAGTAGATTCAGCAGGGCTCAAAACAGCACCTTATACTTTTAATCTTAATTTGATCATGTCACACCAGAACATGTTTATTTTTGGGGCAAACATCTTACATCTTAACATCTTTTTAAAGGACTGTTCTTTTTTACACTCATGTTTTGAAAGACAAAAGTATGCACCTTTTAGCATCTGCAGGATCTGATTCATTTAACCAGAGAGTGATCCAGACTTGTGGAGGTCGGCAGTTTTGTTTCTTGGCTGATTGTGTTAGCTGAAGAGTTGGAAGTAACTGTGTTACATAACAGAGTTAGAAATGTAATTACTTTTTTATTGAGCAAGTAATCTAACTAGTTAGTATTCATTATTAGTAACAACCGGAACTTAACCTGCAATCTAATGCTTCTCATCAGTCTCCATCAATCAATTCAAGATATATAGTGCAGAGATGAGCAGGGAACTGAGTTAGTTGGTTCAGAGCCACTGATTCAATGACAGCGTTACTAAGGAAAAGTTCTTGATGAATTCATGGGTTAAATTTGATTTGCTCTTTATGTTCCTGAACAAAGATTTAAAGGCTTACAAGCATGTAAGATTTAGAGAAGCCCTCACATCATCCCAAACCTGACTGACAGCTGGCTCCCCACGTGTTGCTGTTGCTGTTTAGTTTCTGTGGTATTCCCTTTTTTGTAAGTGCTCCTCCCATTTAATTCTATTGCAAAGTATGTTTTAGTACATTATATATATATATATATATATATATATATATATATATATATATATATATATATATATATATATATATATATATATATATATATATATATATATATAATTTTTTTTATTATCATAAACCAAAGATTATAACCTCTACATAATTAAATTGCAACTCACTTGTTCCATCACACACACCAAATGGTGCAGATCCTTATGTTATTTTCAGATGTACAATCTTTTAATAATTTACTTATATTCATAGTTTAACCTCTGATTTTATTTGACGTTCCAATAACAGAAAGTTATTAGAATTTTTCAGCACTTTAAATTATAAAAGTAACTGAACAGTTACTTTCGCTTGTAAGTCCTTACTTTGATTGAGCATCAACTAAGTTACTAGCAGTTACTTTTTTGATGGGGTAACTACTATCTATAACTAGTTACTTTAATTACGAATGTGCCCAACATTAATATTTTAAGTCATACCACTGGTTAGCAGTGTACCTTAAAATACAACAGTTATACCTCCATGTCTTGTCAAAACCTATGTGCGACGAGTCTGGGGCCGCCCAAATCTGATATATAGCTTTTTAAATTTTTTATACACAAGCATGCCCATGCACACCTACCACAGGAGATTGGGTTCCAGTTGTTCATAGATACACTTTAATACTAAATGCTAATATGCAGCTACAAATATATAGGCTACTACCCTAAATAACATTGTGTAAGTACCATACAGTAGCTTTAGTTTAGCCTTAGGTCTTTTTCTTTTTTTTTTTCTGAACTACCTTTACGTCTCTGTGACCGTGACCGCCTATTTTGCATACCCAAATGGAAAAGAAAAAAAATTAGGAACTGTTAGCACAAATTAAATGTGTGATACATTATTTGAAAGCGAACAGTTTCTAAATTATGCATGAAAATTGGGTGAGTAAAGGGTGATTATACTTCTGCAACCGCACACATCAAACGTCGCTTGGGTCTGGCCGCGAATTAGTTTTGATAGTATGCTTCTGCACCATCAGTCTGGAATTTCTATGGACGCATAGCAGTTTCCCACCAAAGTGCAAGGGGGATCCTCGCGAGAAGTTTGGCGGATAGTCACGGGAACATCTTCGGTGGCTCTGGCGGGAGTGTTTATTTTCCAAAACAACATTTCTGAAGCATCATACAAGTGGTTGTAATTCCGAAACCTCCTTGATCAACCTTTCGTTGTGGTTATCCATTGTCTTTATTACTCCTCTGTTTTTAAAAATTGTGCGCCCCGTCATTGAATCGATAAGGGTGACCAGACAGACAGCTGGAAAGGCATAGCAAGGACCAATCAAAGCTGCTTTTTGTCTGCAAACTTCCTCTTCAGGTCTCTGCGGGTTTGCGATGTTTAGTCAGGATTTTTTTTTAGGTGCGCAACGACAGTTGCAGAGCTTCTGCATGGGGGGGGGGGCGGTCACGCACGGAGACAGATTTAAACGTTTCCAGGGGCTATGCGTCAGAAGTATAAATTTGCCTTAAAGCACAGCCCAAGCTGCATCAGTTCAAACATGAATCAGCGTTGTTTTTTTTAATAGTTGAAAATAATAGGTCTTTTTTGAACAGCAGTAATAAAGACAAGCTTGCTTGTTGTAGCTGCTTTCTCATGTTTACATTTTGACATGCTGTTTTATCTGTTTTAATTGTGCTTTGGTGCTCACTGTGTCCATCAAATGAACTTGATGGTTGAGTTGTGTAGAATGTAAGATTTCAAACAATTTCTAACATGTCTATATTGGTAAACATTTTACCCGTGTAATTTTCATGCATTCTGAATGATTTGTTGTAAACACTTTAAAACGGTCGCCAGTGACCCGGTGGGTTTTCAGAGGATATGATTTTACTCCCTAATTAATTTTCAATAAAGTTTTATATGCAAGTACCAAGCAGAATGCCAACAGTCATAATGGACTGCTTGTGAAAGTAACGCTATTGGGCTACCATCTAACTCTGGGACATATATTCCCAGAGCTTTATTGGCAAAACAGGACTCATACACACAAAAATAAAGTGGTATAAGGTTGCTAATCCTAACTGAACTAAAGCAGTAAAATTTTTATCTCATTTAATTTCAGAAAATGAGAAACAAGTTATTGTATTTTATCTAATGTAAGTACATTAAAATAAATTTAGTTGCATTGGTATCTTTCTTACCATAATGGAAACAGAAAAGGATGCCACTGCATGTTGCACATTTACAATAAACAGACTGTTTGATCACATCGTTTTGTCATGAGATGTTTCAGGACAATTATTTGAGGAGGAGAAGCCCATTTTGAACAAGTAAGGGACAATGTGTTGGACTGTCTGAAGTGCTGCAATAAAGTGGGCTAAAACGAGAATGCCGTTGGGGTATGAAAGAGTAGTTTTTGATTTACATTTAGATTTTCTCTGACAGAGTATATTTTTACACAGCTTCTATGGGTTTTTTTGCATAATGTGTTTTTAGAGTGTCCTTTTATCAACCTAGGGTTATAAAATAATTTTATAAAAAAGAGTGCAGAACCTGAAGGCAAAAGGAAGTGCAAAATAACAATATAATGGGTGTCTGTGATATTCCAAATTATTCAGGTTTTATCCATTTACTTATATGATCTTGTTACAAGCTTAGCAATGCCCAGAGGCATAGGGATGTAGGCAAAAGGTTCTGAATTATAATTGTGATAAAATAAAGAAACAACAAGAAACAATGATTTGCTTCTGCATTATCTGAGACCCCCCCCCCACCACCACACACACACACACACACACACACACACACACACACACACACACACACACACACACACACACACACACACACACACACACACACACACACACACTAGATTAATTTATAAACTCCTAAAGACTTTGAACAGTAAAATACATGTCTTGTATTTTTACAGGACTATGAAGACTCATTTTCCGTCTTTCACTGTGGGTAAGTGATTCATCTATACGTCTTCAGTCAATAAAATCTTTTTGTTTTTCTTATGGAACATTTTATTTTTCGAACAGAGAGGGACAAGATATTTTGAGATAAGTGAAACAACATACAGTACCAGCTAAAAATTATGAATTTGAATTTCGAGTGAGGCTTTTAATTTAATTTCAATTCAGCTTATTTATATGTTACCAAATCACAGCATCAGCTGATTGCATTGAGTCATTGGCTTTGCTCCTCCTGGAAGAACATGTGATGACAGTAAATATTTGCTTGCATTGTGCCATTGACTCAATAGCTATCCATCACACTGAGCATCTATGCAGCGACAGAGATAGATATACTTCCTTAGAATCAGGTTCAGTGTGAGCAGCCTTTTGGCGAGACCAACGGGGGGTTCAAGGAGACAGAAACAGACATACAAATGGAATGTATAATTACTGATCTATGAATACCTGCTAGGTTAGAAAATATAACAGTAAACTAGCTTCTTTGGTGGCTCTATCTAGGAAATAAACAGTTTATTAGCTGTGTTATGAGTCGGTTCTAAATTGAAAAGGGATCAGAGAGCACATACAGTTAGTCACAATAACAGCTAAACCCACGGCTTTATGTAGTAGATAAACAGGACTAAACACAGAGAAATACGCCCAGCTCTATAATCTTTAATCAAAGGTTATAATGGCATCCGCCCTGGTGATATTTCCCTCCAAGATGGTGTCAAAATCAAAAAGAACTAACACAAATGAAGCTTCTTCGATGAGAAAAAGCAAACCTTTGGATCTTACCAATACTGCAGAATGGAATAATAGAGATAGAACCAGTAAAAGTGATTAAAATTGGTCCTTATGTCTTCCAGCAGCCTAACTATAGAGTTTTCTCAGGATAACCTGAGCCTCTCTAACTTAAGCTTTATTAAAAATTTAAGTTTTAGCCCTAGTCTTAAAAGTAAACAGGATATTCTACTTTAATATATTTTAGAAACCACAAGTAAATCTGCAGAATGAGCGTGAAGTGCTCTGTAAGTAACAAGAAACAATCACATCTCTGATTTAAGATGGAGCTTATAGCTTTATACATGAGAAGGATGATTTTAAATTCTATTCTAAATTTAACAGGAGGCCAATGAAGTAGAAGAACTATTATTCCACTTTTTAATTTCGATGAGGATATTGGCTGTAGCACTTACTGATCAGCCATAGCTTCTTCACTACATTTTTTAGACTTTCTGATTACTAAACATTAAAAAAGTCCAGCCTTGAGGTTAATGATTCTTGGACTAGCTTCTCAGCATCACCGTTGGACAAAATACAGTTGTGCTTGAAAGTTTACATACCCTCCGATTAAAGAAAATAATAAATTCACACAACTCATTTAAATAACACAAAATTGATAAAAGTTATAATAAATAAATATATCAAATGATAATTTAGTAAAATAAAAATACTGATTTTGATTTTTTGTTTAAAAATCATTATAAAAAACAAACTGTCTCTTACAAGTTAAAGTACCTTTCTCATGAACTGTGAACCAACATACCGATCAACAGGTGCAGAAGTCTTACTGAAAATTTCCTGAATATTATAGAAAACACCTGATTTTAGTAATTAACTGAACGTTATACTCAACAAGCTTTTAGTTCAATAGTATCACAAGGCTTGTTTATTTGTTTTAAATAAATCAATATATTAATTACCCAGGTCTTATACGTCATTAGGCCAGGCAAAGATTATTTGGTCAATCAGTGTTTTTTCATGTGTTGCACCTTGTGACAAACAGTAAACACAAAGGCAATTCATTTCTACTCCACAAATTAAGAGAACATTTCCTGGAAAGACTTCAGATAGAACTACATGTGATAGACAGAGGGAAAAAGCAAGATAAAGCTGGAAAACTTTCAAGCAAAAATGCCCTTGATAGAAAAAGGAACAGCAGTGATAATAATTGCTAAGTAAAATCAGTTTTGTAGAATTCAAACCTAAACTGCTGAATAATGAAATATATTTTGACATAAGATCTGGTGTAAAAAAATCTTATCTATCATTGTCCCTATTCAGCAGAAGTAGTCCAAGAGGCAGCACTTTGTAAATCTAATTCCTGGCTAATTGTCAAGACCCTCCAAATCCTGAGAGAAAATAATGTTTTATAAGACATTATTTCAAAAATATATATTTTCTTAATCCTGAATAAAAACCAAAAGATTTTTTTAAACATTTACATCTAGTGATTTGGAAAAAAAAAAGTTTTACTTATCAATAAAAAATGTATTTTGAATCTTATAAAGCATATAATTTTAGCAGGATATCCTCAAGGCTTAAGCCAACATTCACATGACTAGTACTTTTTATGTACAATACTTTCTTCACCCTGTTATAGCAGTAGTTTACATGATGTCCTGGAGATGGTGGTGATAAGATGGTGCACTGAGGGTGGTGTCTAAATGTTATCATGTGTTGCAGATGTCCTACAAAACAATGAAAATATAATGCATTTAAGAAGAACCTCTTTAACTGTGTCAAGTATGTGTTAAGAAATCTGAACATAGAGCAATTTCATTTTTTAATTTAACTGCAGTAATATGCACAAGTCAGAATGTAAAACCTACATGATAAACAGTCACAAACTAAGTTAAACAACTAGCTCCTTTGTACAATTATCTTAGAAATGATGAATCAACTTATGGGGATCAGACTTAAATTGGAACTTTATCATGGCATTTCTTTAAAGCGGCATTAGATGTTTTTGATGACACTGCCTATGGCCTCAACTTATGCTCGAGCTTATTCTCTTACTTACCTATTTTTTTTGTTTTTAACTTTTTTCAACACAAGTGGAGTTGCCATTGTTATTTGACATGAGCTGGATGCCGGTCACTTCAGAGTATCCAACTAGAATAGATGCTTGTTTGCTATGTTGGACCCATTTAAAATGGAATCACTTGATGTCACATCCTCCAAACAGCGCAGAAACTTCCAACCCGAAGTAAATTTAGGAAAAAAAGGCTCCAGACTTTTATAATATACGTATCTGCACTTAACTACTGAGATATCAGTCTGCTCATCAAACCATGTTTAGTCATAATAGGATAAAATAAAAGGCTATTTTAAAGATATTTTTAAGTATAAACATACATAATGTCTCTTTAAATATATGACAAAAACAAAAGTAATATTTCCATGAAGTAATACTGACTGTAGGACTATCTAAATGTGTACTATTACCATAGCTTTATAAAAATAAACCCAATAAAATTTCTGTTAAAAAATGACAAATCAAATAAACATTTCTAAACTTTTTAAATTACTTTAACCAAATCCACTAAACTGCTTTAATAGTTAAATGTTTTATTTAAATGTCTTTAATAAATAAATATTTGAGACTATCCATGTGGATTGATATACAGTGGGGCAAAAAAGTATTTAGTCAGCCACCAATAATGCAAGTTCTCCCACTTAAAAAGATGAGAGAGGCCGGTAATTTTCATCATGGATATACCTCAACTATGAGAGACAAAATGAGAAAAAAAAAATCCAGAAAATCACATTGTCTGATTTTTAAAGAATTTATTTGCAAAATATGGTGGAAAATAAGTATTTGGTCAATAACAAAAGTTTATCTCAATACTTTGTTATATACCCTTTGTTGGCAATGACAGAGATCAAACGTTTTCTGTAAGTCTTCACAAGGTTTTCACACACTGTTGCTGGTATTTTGGCCCATTCCTCCATGCAGATCTCCTCTAGAGCAGTGATGTTCTGGGGCTGTCGCTGGGCAACACAGACTTTCAACTCCCTCCAAAGATTTTCTATGGGGTTGAGATCTGGAGACTGGCTAGGCCACTCCAGGACCTTGAAATGCTTCTTACGAAGCCACTCCTTCGTTACCCGGGCGGTGTGTTTGGGATCATTGTCATGCTGAAAGACCCAGCCACGTTTCATCTTCAATGCCCTTGCTGATGGAAGGAGGTTTTCACTCAAAATTTGACGTTACATGGCCCCATTCATTCTTTCCTTCACACGGATCAGTCGTCCTGGTCCCTTAGCAGAAAAACAGCCCCAAAGCATGATGTTTCCACCCCCATGCTTCACTGTAGGTATGGTGTTCTTTGGATGCAACTCAGCATTCTCTCTCCTCCAAACACGACGAGTAGAGTTTTTACCAAAAAGTTCTATTTTGGTTTCATCTGACCATATGATATTCTCCCAGTCATCGTCTGGATCATCCAAATGCTCTCTAGCAAACTTGAGACGGGCCTTGACATGTACTGGCTTAGGCAGGGGGACACGTCTGGCACTGCAGGATTTGAGTCCCTGGCGGCGTAGTGTGTTACTGATGGTAGCCTTTGTTACTTTGGTCCCAGCTCTCTGCAGGTCATTCACTAGGTCCCCCCGTGTGGTTCTGGGATTTTTACTCACCGTTCTTGTGATCATTTTGATCCCATGGGGTGAGATCTTGCATGGAGCCCCAGATCGAGGAAGATTATCAGTGGTCTTGTATGTTTTCCATTTTCTAATAATTGATCCCACAGTTGATTTCTTCACACCAAGCTGTTTACCTATTGCAGATTCAGACTTCCCAGCCTGGTGCAGGTCTATAATTTTGTTTCGGGTGTCCTTTGACAGCTCTCTAGTTTTGGCCATGGTGGAGTTTAGAGTGTGACTGTTTGAGGTTGTGGACAGGTGTCTTTTATACTGATAACGGGTTCAAACAGGAGCCATTAATGAAGGTAACGAGTGGAGGACAGAGGAGCCTCTTACAGAAGAAGTTACAGGCCTGTGAGAGCCAGAAATCTTGTTTGTTTGTAACGGACCAAATACTTATTTTCCACCATATTTTGCAAATAAATTCTTTAAAAATCAGACAATGTGATTTTCTGGATTTTTTTTTCTCATTTTGTCTCTCATAGTTGAGGTATATCTATGATGAAAATTACCGGCCTCTCTCATCTTTTTAAGTGGGAGAACTTGCACTATTGGTGGCTGACTAAATACTTTTTT